AACTTCTCAAAGCTTCCACATTTTCAGTTTTAACAGTGACTCCAGGAAGTGAGATTTGGCAGATTTTGAAGCCCAGTTCATAAGTGATAGACTCATTTAGACACCCAAGATAAATAAATGCCCAGCTCATTTAAATAAAACCAATTTTCCACTGCACACAAATGACACGTGATTTTTGATTTCATGTTACAGATTCAAGTTTATTTAGCAGTTGCTGCAAAGTCACAACAAACAGGAGAAGCATTTTCACCACACATTAGAACAGTTGATTATGACTGCAGAATATTTGTATTAGCAATTTATAGTAACATTATTCTTTAAAACTAGCTGAACAACTTATGAATGAGCTCTTTTTAGTGTCAAAGAAACATGAGGGGTGCTTCCCAAAGTGGGACCTGCACAGGTCCACCCGTTCAATGTCCTTCTGAGTCATGCTGCTCACTGCGATAGCCAAAGATATGCTAAACTACTCTGAATAATTAATCTAAGCTTGCACTGCAAGAACTAATCTGGGGTATGTGTGTCGAAGGTTTTCATTATGAAATTGTATGAATTAATGTAAGTTATAGTTGAAGCACAGAATTCAGCTGAAGCTCGCAGTGACTTTACTGGGCGGGCCTATCCTTAACCATAATTCATAACCTATGAAAACACTTAGTTATATTTAGAGTGCACACTTTTAATTAAAGGTCCTGGTCTGCTGAACTACTTTCTTATTTTGTCTTAACTTCTTTCTCTTGTTTTCTTTGCACTGGGGGGGTACAGCTGCTGAGGGAGTGAAATGAGCAGATCAGTACTGGCTATTAAATACATGACGTCATGAATGGATTGTACCAATTTTTGCGATATCATGGGTGGAAAAGATGATGAAACTAGTTACTTTAAATATGTTGTTCATATCATTTGACTTAGTTATTTAGATATTTTGGGTTTGATAAGCATTAAGTGAAAGTAATAATTGAAAAGTAAGTTATTTTATTTAGTTTTTTGTAATCAGGTCATGTATTAGTGCGTGTCACCAACATGTGCTCACGTTTATCTGATCAACAAGTGTTCGAGCTCCCATTCGTCTCTTGGATGTTAGGTGAGTTTATCTGAGCAGTTAGTTTATTACTCAGTTATATGTTAGCACTACAACTTAAGTTTTGTTTTGTTTATCTCCTTTAAAAGCTCCACCAAAACCAAAATTCTGACTTTTTTTGTTTAATTATTTTACATTTTCTGTAAAAAACAATTTTTTTTAAAACTACATGACTTTCCTCATGCTTGACCAGCTCAGTCTCAAGTAACAGTTACTGACTAATGTTGCACAACATTAAATTAAGTAAACATTTGTCCAAATATAATCTTATAAGCTGTATAAAAGTATAAAAGCATAAAAAACAACCTTAATTACACAACAATATCTGTGTTCATTTAACATAAACAGCACTAGCTGGGCTGGTAAATATAAAATGGTAACTGACCCATTCAGAGCACCAGGTAGCAGAAACCAAACAGGTCCAAAAGTAATGAGGCAAAGCGAGAGGAAGTGATATGTTGATTCATCAACAGGTTTTAACCTGGGTTACACGTTTATTATACTAGGACAAAATATTAGGAACACTTTTCAATACCACGATATGCGGTGAACCTCCTACTGCAACTTTAATGAGCATAAAAGAACAAAACTGGAATCTGTGCTGTTGTTTTGGGTTTCATTAGACTGGGTATGTGTTCTTAATAAAGCGGTTGGTTTAAAATATGGATTATTAACAGGCCACGGCTTCTACCTAGTTCTCCACAGCATCCTGAGCACAGGTGTGTTGCTCTGAAGCAGAACAGTACTTTTTCTCAAAGGCTTCTTGGTTCAGTAAAGACTGCAGGTTGAGAAGCACCCGTAGAAAATGTGTAATGTAATGTGTGATAATGTTATCTCACCAGATAAAACATAATGTGCGCGTGCAATGATCCACAGTTAGACTTATCAGCACGAGAGGATTTTAG